GGCCTGAAACAAGTAGACACCTTCTCCCCCAAACTCTTCACTCCTCATTTTGGAAATTTTTGCGTAAGAAGAAATGGCAGGGTGGAATTAACATCGGTGGTGAACAGCCTTGCCGCGCAAGGTTCGCCGACGACGCGGCTGTGTTTGTGGGAAAAGTCGGTCGACTACGTGACTGGCTGCAAGAAGGCTTGGGCTTGACACAGAGTTTGAGAGGAAAGTGCGGACGTCGGACGTCAATGACGAAGGCACAAGTGAAATTAAACGGCCAAGAGATCGAAGAGTTCGATGAATACATGAACTAGTCCAGAGATCGATATGCGGCATGATCAGGCTGAAAAGATTCAACGGAGAAAGTTAACCGGTTGGCGCACGTTCCGCTCCATCAACGACGTCCTCCTCGGCAACCTCAGGGAAGAAACTCGCATCTGCCTCTTCGGTTTTACCGCACTGCCGGCAAAACTGTCTATGGCTGTGAGACTTAGTCACTCATTAATCCCGAAGTGCAGCAGCTATCTGCCACGGAGACGGCCATGGAAAGAAGAGTGTTTGAATCTCCTGTCCCTACCACATCTACAATACTGCGATCAAACGGTAGTTGGGGGTGAAAGACGTCGTCTCACAAAGCAGAAAGGGGAAGCTACGGTGGGACAGATAGGAGATGATCGGCGATGGTAATCAGCTGATATCTTCGCGGGCGAACCAGGCTGTTTGGGTACCCACCGCGACGGTCGGAAGGTAATGTCATGAGCCGAGAAAACCGCGCTTGTATGGAGAAGGCTCGAAACTGCGAGGAACGGAAGAGGTAGGGGTGTTGTGCAGCGAACGCGATTTGTCGCTGATTATTGACCGGTTCAGATGATCCAAGTGACCCTTGTAAATTGATTTGATCACGGTCATCGAATAAGTCATTTAAATCGAAACAATTTCAGTTTAAATGAACAAGGATAGCATGTAAAACTGCCAGCCACCAACATTGCAACAGTTACATGCCAGCGCAAATTAACCGTATAAATTTATCACACTACATCATAAAGAGAATGCCCAATGGCAAGAAAGAATGAATGCAGAGGAATGGGACAGATTAGTGAAATAAACATAATCTGCTAGTAAATGATGTCTTAATCTGTAGGCTAGCAGCACAATATCGATTGGAGCAGATGCAGCCTTTTCCGTTCCTCGTTCTGTGGCGTTCCACTCATCTGTGGGATCAGAGGTTTCCTGTTTGCTTCGGTTTTGCATAGATATTTTTGAACCTCGTGAACTGAGGTCTCGAAGCGCCTTTTAAATCCATTAACGCGAAAACTGGAAAGAATAGGTTGGAATAGTTATAAAGATGCATAATCAATATTATGATCAGGGCGACTGCGATGTATACGGCATTTATATAACACAGCCGATCAGAATTTTCTCAAATTGGTAATACGAATATAGAAGAAATATGTTAATGACGTATATACAATTACAGCTAGCGTGCAGACTGTGAGAAACCTATCCCTATTTTCTTTAAGTTAGCCATTGTAATGGAAACGACCACGCCGCTAATCCTCTTCATCATGAGATTTGTCAGCTAGAGCTAGTGATACAGTATGAGCGGATCAACTGTGAAGAACGCAATATCGACAACAAGGAAAAGGCTGCCTGCGTAGACGTAGGGTGGCCTTCTTCCGCAAGCTCATCTTCTTCAAGCTGAAATGCACAGTTACATCGATGAAGCGAGTCTGACAGCATTAGACGTGGAAAAACCGAGTTTCGTGAGAATGCTCATATCCTTCCGTCGTAAACCGGGAAAGTACCAAACTCTCACAACACTCGTCTATTGAATGAGCGGCTCAAAAACTGTCGTCTTCCTTACCGTAGCAAAAACAGCGTGCTTCTAGCCTTTTAAAAGGCAATTTTCATCTGTGACATGGACGATCACAGTAGCGGATAGTTGTTCGAGAATTCGCTGATTAAAATTTGACCCGTTCGTATTAAAATCAGCGAGTAAAATTAAGAACGTAATTACTGATCTCGACTCGCTATATGACTGCTCGTTTCAACCCTGTGCCAAAGTCGACAATCGCTCAGCGATACACTTGCCAAATCACAGTATTGACGTTTCGGCTTGCTTCTTTTAGCGGCAACAAAAAACTACAAGCTTGGTACAGCGAAACTTCCTGTTTTCTCCCTGCCAAAATGAGGTAATGCTCATGCCAAAGTTTTCCCAAATCAATAAACTTCGCATCAGACTGCAATGGGGTTATGGGATATGATTTTAATGCATAGCCTCCTAGTCAAACATCAGCCTCATAATATTCTGAACCACGCGCACTTACGACGAAGACTCCATCGTTTCATTCTTCTGCGCATCTGTGCACCGCCTTTCCGCCTTTAAGATATCACTGAAGGGGCAAAGCCGAGTTACTGTCATTTAAAGCTCTGCAATTACATCCGCGGCTTATGAGGCGACCAGTATTAAGGAGAATGGCATCGACTCAAGATTTGACATCCAATGGAGTAGAAGAATAAAAGGCGGATTGGGAAGATAGTTATAGGTGCATTCGATCAGGGGTGGGCGGATGAGCATTCTGAACATCGACTGGTGCCAGCACTAGAGTTGACCCTCATAAAGTTGACCGTCATAAAGTTATATTTGCAATGTGATAGTGCATCTGATTCGACGTTGCCCAATTAGCAAGCAATGCGATGCAAGCTAGACATTCTGAAGCTCATAGAAACCCGCCTCTCTGAGGTGGAGCATCAGCAACTTGTAAATGGGTGACAGTTCTACTGATCTGGAAACCAGAACTCACGCCGCAGTCGCCATTCTATAATCCCTCTCTGAGTGGTGAACATTTCCTTCACGTCGAGCAAACCGTGGCATATTGCTTCTTTACTCAACGGAAACAAAATGTTTGCCAGTTAGATTTTCATACGTATATTCGTACATATGTACATAGGCACGTATTTATGTACTATTGTACACACATTCTTAATACACAGAAATACATGCACACACGAATGCATACATGCGATCAATATTTTAAAAGCACAACATATCAATAACTTCAGTCATCGTCAACCTTTTATCATCTTCACTATCAAATGATGACCTCTCAAAGGCGTTGCCATAAACGTATTATCTCTGTGATTCTTATAAATCTTGATGCAACAAATTTCTTAAGCTCATCCTGCCATCGATCTGGAACTCCTACCGGGCGTTTACCCTCTCTTAAAACCCCATTAATGGCCCTCTGATCCAGCGGTTGTCGGTTCTTTCTGCAATGTCCTGCTCATTTCAATTTCTTCATTCGTAAAATTACGCCGCAGACCAATGTTTATGCTTTTAATTCATTCAATTGCCTTCCTGTCTTTCCTTGTTGTTCGAAACATACGCCATTTTATGTATTTTGTGGTTTTCAGTTTAAGAATCGCCTTCAGAATAAGGGCCTGCCTTTCCTATCTATGGGTTAGCACCGTAAAGCTGAAAACGTATATACTGAGAAATTGTTGTCAATGTCACCAAATATCGGTCGAATGAAAGAGAAAAACAAAGTAGTGAGGTTGTCACTAATTTACTCCTGTTTCAGTTTTCGGGAAATTCCTAGCACCATGCACTGAACGACATCGACAGATCGGTAATTATAATTGGAACGTGAAACAGAATGTCACACCCTTTCAAGAACGCTGAATTCAGTCCAAGGAGGGATCAGTGATGTATGTAAAATGTATCGACGCAGATCCATGGACCAGGGAAGATGGAAGACAGTAAACTGCATAACTCAGACATGTTTTACATTATGCACATCGCATCATCTCCATCATCGTCTTCATCTTCCATGGCCGCTTCTTGTTTCAGGTCGCGGCGACAGACGCTTCCAACGTTCCCGATCCTGTGCCAGAGTCTGAGCTTCAGCAAAAGACAAATGCAGTCTGGAACAGAT